ATTTTTATTTTGCTTCTTCAAACCAGCCTAGAGTGAAAGATCCTGGTGAGTGGCGGGAGCAATTTTATACCCGGCGCAATGGCAGAGCCAGGGGGTGGCTAATGATGGCATTGGCCAACATCAGTTATTCTATTCTTCAGCAACCACATGGGCCACCCGAATTATTTGAAGAAACTATACTTTTAAGCAATGTAAAAAACTAGAAAGCATCTTTTTCTCAATGATAGGGTTGGTCAGTTTAACCCCCCCATATATTTTTAATAGGGACCTTTCTTATGTTCAGATGCAGCCACACACCAAAATGGAATTCTGTACCTCACTTATTTTCAAGTTATCAAGTTCACGAGCCAGACGGACGGATGGACAGAACATAATACCTATGCCTTCTTCACTCCATGACAAGGGACAAAAAACTACACTGTCAGTTTTTTTTATTACTGTTGATGAAGATAACAAATAGAGAAATTTAATTTTCAGTGAAAACCCAGTATGAGATCTGAATGACTTGGCTAAAATTTGACTACCGGTAAGTTTTATCTGATTTGTTAAAACTAAAAGAAGCTAAACACAAGGTATGCTAAAAGAAGCAAAAGAAAAATATTTTTTTTGCAAGCTAAAATCGACAAAACACTAGTTAAGGCAGCAAAAAGCTAGCAAGAAGTATAAAATATTTAGCTAGAAGTTAAAAGTATCAAAAGGCTAGCAAGACGGTAAACGTTGCAAAAGGCTAACTTAAAGCTAACAGCAGCAGAATGCTCGCTTTAACCTGAACATAGCAAAATGTTATAATATATAATTATATAATAATTATATAATTATTATATAATTAAAAAATATTCAAATTGGATTAAAATTAAGTACATTTTCACCTCATTGCATTTTTAAATTACCATTTAACAAGATAATCATATAAAGAATATAAAGAAGATTTATAAAGAATGATTATTATGATTCATCATAAGGTATTTAATGACATTGACATAGCCACGGATGCAGGTGACTCTGTGCTGCTTGTCCTATTGGACCTCACATCTGCTTTTGACACCATCGACCATGAGATCCTCATTTCTAGGTTGGAGCAGTGGGTGGGCATCACAGGGTCAACCCTCAAATGATAGATCCTACCTCTCTGACAAAACGTTTTGTGTCAACATCAAAGATTTTAGTTCAGCATCGGCAGTGCTTCAGTGGGGGGTACCGCAGAGGTCCATTCTCAGTCCTCTTCTCTTTTCTTTATACCTGATACTATTTTCCATAAACACAAAAAAGAAACTGTCCAGATGACCTGACTGAAAAATGTTGGATTGTATACCTGGATTATTGAGCATGGACTTTGTTGTTTTCAACCAGTTTGACACGACTGTCAACAAGGAAGAGAGCTGGCAATGGAGGAGGGGGTGTGCCAAAGAGGCCATCTTAGCACCAGCAAAACTGGTTTGTTCCACTTTGGAGTAAGCTGTTGGGGGAATAATCAGTTTTGTGTTGTGTGTTTCATTGACTGATGAAGCCTTCCGGATCGAAGGTGAAACGTTTCAGCACAAAAAAAGAAACTGTCCAGATGACCGGACTGAAAAATGTTGGAACATACACTTTCATTTCTATGCTGATGACTGTCAAATTCACTTCCCTCTGAAGTACACTGGTGCACGTTCTGTTCAACCTCTTCTTGACTGCCTGGCTGATATTAGGGACTGGATGGCTTTAAATTTCTTAAGTTTCAATGAGAAGAAGACTGAAGTTATGCTGTTTTCTCCTAATGGCACGATCAAGAACCACTGTATCAACCTTTCCTCTCTAGCCCCATTAGAGAAACAAAGAGTCACAAATCTGGGCGTGATAATGGACCCTTCCTTGAAACTTAACAATCCTGTTTTTTCCAGCTGAGGCGACTGTCTAAACTGAAGCCTATACTGTCCGAAAAAAACCTTGAGACTGTATACATGCATTCATAACATCCAGGCTTGATTACTGCAATGCACTTCTTTTTGGAACCAGGCAGCGCTCCATTGCACAGTTACAACTGGTTCAAAATGCTACAGCCCGATTTTTAACCGGTACAGGCAAAAGAGAGCACATTACACCAGTTTTGGCCTCCCTGCACTGGCTCCCGGTTCACTTTCGAATTCAGTTCAAAATCCTTCTGTATGTTTTTAAATCTCTGGACAGCTCTGCCCCCTCTTATCTCGCTGATCTGCTGCAGCCATATGTCCCACAGCGATCTCTGAGGTCAGCAGATCAGACGCTCCTAGTGGTTCCAGGAACCCGTCTCAAACTCAGAGGTGACAGGGTCTTCTCTGTTGCAGGTCCAAAACTGTGGAATGAGTTTTCACCACATGTCAGGTAGGCTCCCACTCTCACTATTCTTTGTCTCACTTAAAAACTCACTTTTATTCCCTGGCTTTTGACACAGTGTGATACAATGTTAGCCTTTTAGTTATGATCTTTTTCCACTTGGATCTATGTTTTTATCCTGTATCCTTTGATTGTTTTTACTGTTCAGCACTTTGGCTGGCCTTGCTGCTGTTTTAAGTGCTTTATAAATAAAGTGGTATGGTATCATTCATCTTCACTGCACCTGCCTTATTTTGCACATAATTTACAGGTCCCTCTTGTAAATGAGTCCTCGTGACTCAATGAGACTAATCTGTATAAATAAAGGTTGAATTAAATTTAACTTTAAGAAGAACTAATGCTGATTAAGTTCATTTTCAAAATAATTTGCCATATTTCATGTTTGTAACACATTTTCTCAGCTGTTCTGTATTTCATCGAGTGTGGACATGAGCTGCTTTGGTTCAAATATATTTCTAATTACTTAAGTAGTTTCAAGTCTTTTCTGTGTGGCTCTTTTTTTCTTCATGATGACAGTTTTCAAAGAAAAACATGTTCACAAACACCCTTCTGTAAAACATCATGTGCTTTGAATTATGAATTAGCAGCTTATGTCAGAAACAAAAAAAGATTACTGTGTTACGGAAATATAACGTATTTTTAAAACAGTTTAGAGATCTTCTGTTTAACTCTTTAAACCCAGTTTTGTAATTTGTGTTTTGTGTAAATATTTGTCATTGGGATTTTCTTCTCCGTTTATGACATTTATATTGTCATATCTGGACTATTGGAATGTCTTGGTAATAATCAGTGAAGTTTACTTAGGGGATCTTTTAAACTTATATTGTAGCTTAAATCACAATGAAATAAATCCCAATAAGAAATTTAAAGTTTAGCATTTCATGGGAATTCAAGTCATTTGACTCCTTTCATACCAGACTTTAAAACTAAGATGATCTCGTATTGAGAAAAGACAGTTATAACCCTTTTGGCAAATCTTTAAAAAATATACATTACGTTCAATCTCACCCAATTCTGTAATATTTCATACAATCTGTTTGAGCTAAAAGTGTAATATTAGGATGTCTGTCAGCTAATGTCAAATCTAATTTTAGCCCAACATCTGTAAAACTGACTTAGTTGCAGCCATTTTTGAGTTTGCTAAGGTCGAGTAGCTGTGGCAACCATCATCAACCGAATCAGCTTTCTTTCGGCTGCTCCCTTCTTCAGGGGTCACAGCGAACTAACTCGCACGAAGACTTGGCGATTGTTTTTACTCCAGATGTCCTTCCTGACGTCACCACAGACCACCAAGCTACCACAGCCCTCTGTGTGGAGCAGAGCGCTGCCATCTAGGGTGCCTGGGGGAGCAGATGGTGGGGGGTAAGAACCTTGCTCAGGGGCCCAGAGTGTGGCAAATGCGGATGGAAGGAGATGCGGGTGCTTCACCTTTCCCCACCCACATTTTGCTGTTTTCAGTCCGGGGAGTTGAACCAGCAACCTTCCAATCACAGGTTCACCTTCTCTAGCCTCTGCACCACCACTCCCCCAATAATCTTAATTATATTCCAATCCAGAATTAAATCATTTACTTTATTTATTTTTCTTCTTGTGTTCCCTTTATTGTCATTAAGTCCTGGTTTATTATCCCCTGAAGTGAAAAACTTTTCCACCATTGAAACTATTTAAATGAGTGCCCTGCCTCAGACCTAAGGCCTAAATTTCTCCGCTGACACTGAAAGAAGCTGTCACACAGTAGCGTGGGCTCCATTGTATCTGTGAAAACCTAAGTAGCTCTCAGCGTATTGTTTTCTCTAAAGGGGAGTCAGGTTACCGTGACAACCAGAGGATGCTTTCTCATAGGCCAAGAGACAAATAGAAAAGGCAGGGCCAAGAGACGGAGGGAAATAGAGTAAAAGAAGATAAAAAAAAGAAGGCAGCAGACTTCCCAGACACAACTTTGTTAAAGATCTTTTTTTTTTCTTCTAAAACATTTGTACAAGCAGGATTACCAGTGGGTTGAGCCAAAACATAAAGAGGTGAGGAAATGTGTGCATGTGTGTTTTCCTGACTGCTGGCTGCTTTGTTTTGCTCAGCGAGCCGTTGAGATGTTTCTGTTAGTGTGTCCCATTAACAAAGAGCAGGCTGGTGACAGCACTTTGGTTACATTCACATTCTGATGGACGTGTTCAAACACAGACAAAAAAAAAAAAAAGTCCTAAAACATCCGATGATTGAACAGGAGAGAAAAAAGTAATGTAAAGTGGATACACTTTTAATAATTGTGATTACTATTGGAGCCCTTGAATTTACTGATCTTTTAATGTTATTGTATTGACAGTGAGAACTTGAGCTCTGTAAGAAGAACGATGCGCGTTGCTCTGCGGCATCGCAGGTAAGCCTTGCACTCTTGAAGGCTAATCAGGGGCCAGAAAAGTGACCAGTTTCATGTTTTTCTTGATTTAAACTGTCTTAACATCTTCACAGCTGCCTGTTTGACCTGATGATACCCTCACATGTAACTAAAGTTCAACTATAGGCCAATATCACCGTTAGTTATTAGTTTATCTATGACTCTAAATTACCCTAAATTTTCTGTTGTTGAATTCAGACAAGATGAAGGTTTTTGGATCTGAGCATTTTAGGAATGAATTTTTCAGTCTTTCTCCCTCCTTAGATGGCATTAATCTGTCCTCCAGCTCTAATGTTAAAAATCTTGGTGTTATTTTGATCAGGACATGTCTTTTATTCTCCACATTAAAAAATGTTACTAGAACCACCTTTTTCCACCCACATAATATTTCTAATATTAGAAACATCTTATCTAAAATGATGCAGAAAAACTGGTTCATGCATTTGTCACGTCTAGACTGGACTATTGCAATGGTTTATTAACTGGGTGTCCAAATATTTCTTTAAAACGTCTTCAGTTGATCCAAAATGCTGCTGCCTGAGTCTTGTAGTGAACTAAGCCTCAGGTCAAAACCTGACCCTGAGGACCTTCATGGGACAGAAACTGTTATTTCATTGATTTGAGTCCAGAAATACAAATTAAGCTCATCCAGAGACTTTCTAAGTGTGTCCTGCACTAATCAATTGAAAGAACACTCTCTTTTTTATTGTCATTACTATTTTTACAAATGTCTTGATAATCCAAAAGTGTGTTTAGTTCAAATCATTTTAAATGCTGAAGTGAACTACCCATTTTAAATCAACTGTGAAACAGTATTAATGATTTTTAATCCTCATTCAAAGTAGAAATCAAGTTAATGTCTGTTACAGAGTAATTATGTATTTTAATTAGTAATTAAAAAAAAAACAAAAAAAAAACTGTAGTATGAGTTTTTATAACTGCTTATTGTTGTTGCTGTTGTCCATTGTTGTCATCTTTCTTTGTTGAAATCAGGTCTCTCTTGTAAATGAGTCCTCGAGGCTCAATGGGATTTACCTGTATAAATAAAGGTTGATTGATTATGCATTTTTTTGATCTTCTGTCTGAAATGAGAAGGAGTGATGTCGGTCAAAAGTCGGAGACAGTCGCAAACAAGTTTATTGGAATGAACTGTCATGTTTTTAAACCTATCAGACAGAAATAAGAAACTGGTGGCACCTGTTTCCTCTCATTTCGCCAAAACATTTCTCTGTCTGCTCCAAAACATCTCTGTCTGTTCCAAAAACATCTCACTGTTTTTCTGACTTGTAGTAACCTCTTACGTCACTAAAACCACACCCCTGTTGGTTCTTTCAACCAATCAGGATTTCCCAAAAAGGGACCGGAAGCGAACTCTTTAAAAAGTTGACACTTCCTAGTTCCAGTCAGTTCAAAGTTGCTGGAGAGAACAAGAAGTTCTGGGATGAACTGAAGTTCTGGAGTGAACTGGTACTGATAGAGTTCGGCTGGAGTTCCTGTAGGAGCCGTGATGCCTCGCTGTGGCTCCACCCGGTGAATGCCCGATAACTGCTGAGGAAGTTTGTTCTGTGGAACGAATTATCTCACGACTTCTAAAGAGTCGCAGCCGCCCTGAGGAGACGCTGAAAGGTAGCGTGCCAGTAGACCTCTTGACCGCCGCGGATTCATCCTCTGCAAGGTAAAGAGTCTTCACGAGCTTCACTACCAGCGTACTGCGGGCGAACTGCGCTTCAAAGGAGCGTGTCGTTCTGGTCTACAGACCTACGTCTTCATCCATCTTTTCTCCCCATTTAAACTCCTTCATTTCCCATCTTTAAAACTCTTCTATCTTGCCAGTAATTAATCCAGATATTTTCAGAAATGTCTGTTGTATTTTTAGTTGCAAGTGAGAAATCATGGCCGTATGATTTCTCATTGTAAAGCTCATTAATTAAGCTGTGTTATTGCGTTCAATCAGAATAATCACGTGTAAAATGTTTGATGTTAAACTTTGATTCTGTTAATAAATGACCACATTCATTTTGATGGGTCAAAGAAAATTAACGTCTCATGTCACTGGTTTTTAGACCATCTCCCACACAGTACTTCTAAGCACATATCTGTCAAGTAGCTCGAAAAAAAGAGAATCCGTTTAAATTAAGTATAATATCATGTACTTGAACTAGTCCAGATATTATAACATGTAGTGGAGCTCCTAAGCTAAATGAAGCTAACCGACCCGATCTCACTACAGTCTTAACTGGAGTTAGTAGGAGAGATCATATCTCCAGTTTTAGCTTCTCTCCACTGGCTCCCTGTCAAGTCCAGAACTGAATTAAAAATCTTATTTCTAACCTACAAAGCTCTTAACAACCTAGCTCCATCTTGTATTAGAGATTTTACTTTTCTATATTTTCCTAACAGAGCACTTCGCTCTCAGACTGCAGATTATCTCGTGGTCCCTAGAGTTTCCAAAAGCAGAATGGGAGGAAGATCTTTCAGTTCTCATGCTCCTCTCTTGTGGAACCAACTTCCAGTTTTTATGTCCGTAAGGCTGACACAGTGTCCAGTTTTAAGACTGGGCTGAAGACTTTCCTTTTTGATAAATCCTATAGTTAGGGTTGGCTTATGGTGCTATAAGCTTAGACTACTGGAGGACAAATTGACCTAATTTCCTTAAATTAATTGTTAAAATTGAATAACAAAGTTGGGACAGCACGGTGGCGCAACTGGTAGAGCTGCTGCCTCTCAGTGAGCAGGTCCTTGGTTCAAACCCCGGTCCAGGGGCCTTCTGGGTGGAGTTTGCATGTTCTCTCCGTGCATGCGTGGGTTTTCTCCGGGTACTCCGGTTTCCTCCACAGACCAAAAACATGCATGTTAGGCTGATTGGTAACTCTAAATTGTCCCTAGGTGTGAGGGGGAGAGTGAATGGTTGTTTGTCTCGTTTGTCTCTATGTGGCCCTGTGATGGACTTGCGACCTGTCCAGGGTGTACCCCACCCCTCGCACAGTGATTGCTGGACATGGGCACCAGCGACCCCCGTGACCCAAAATGGAATAAGCGGGTAAAGATAATGGATGGATGGATGTTTGAAGCCTGAAATGTGGCAAAAGGTTGAAAAGTTCAAGGGGGACGAATACTTTCGCAAGGCACAGTATTATACGTTTTCCAAGTCTTATGTTCTCATGATGAGAGCTCTGATCAATAGACCTAATGCAGAGTGATACTTCCATCTATCATCTTTACCCGCTTTTTCCTTTCTGGGTTGCAGGGGTCACTGCTGCTCATGTCCAGTTATCACTGTGTGAGAGACAGGGAACACCCTGGACAGATCGCAAGTCCATCGGAGACAAGCAACCATTCACTCTCTCACACATAGGGACAGTTTCACATGCAAGGAGAGAACATGTAAACTCCATCCAGAAAGGTCCAGGATTCGATCCAGCAACCTTCTCGCTGAGAAACAGCAGTTCTACCAACTATGCCACCGTGCCGCCTCAGATTGATACAGTCGAATAAAAAGTTTTTATGGACCTTGGGGTGTATTTTACTGAAAACTTTTTACTTTATTGAAAGTCAGATTTTGTTTTTGTTGCATCAAAAGGGGGTGTTGTTATCAAAATCTGTGAAATGCATGGATTCAGCTCATTTGAAGTGGGGTTATACGGAAAGTTTATGAATAAAATTATATTACCTGTTGTAGATAGCTGTATAGATGACTCCATTTTAGAGAAATTGCATTTAATTATGATAAGTTTGTCAGAGAGGGGCCAAGAACAAAGTGAGTTGCTGCCACCTTAAAACAATTCTTTTCTCAGCTGTTCACACTTTATAAAAATTTACATTGATACCACCTTCACATTACATTTATTTAGACAGAAATTTGATGATTTCCCTGCCAGATATATCCAAGATTGAACTAGAAGTGCCACAACTAGCTGCTGCTACTATGTCAGCTTGTAAAACACCCATTAAATTCAATGTAAATAACAAAAAAGTGCAAAACTCACACCAATGTAGAAGTTTATAAAATAACATTCACAGCATAACATTTTTGAGATTTATGTTTTACAATTCCAGAAACTAAGTTAAATCAAAATTACCTTCTGTTTCTCCAAACTAAGGCATTCATAAAGCTTTAAACACAGGTGAGATATTTACTTTTCATTGCCTTTCCACAAAACCTTACTTCTAAAGATGTAAACTTGCTTTACATGATTTGACTGCCTACAAATAGGGCACGAGTTGAAAAAAATAAAACTTTCCCAAGACCAGTACAACACTGTTTCTAAAACAGTTTTATAAACTATAAATTAAAACAAAAGATGGAACAATAACCCATAGTTAAAAGACAATAAAACAAAAGGGAGGTGTTTTGTAATTGAATGTAACGTTTTCTCCCTGTGGTGCGCCCTCTAGTGGCTGTCTGCTGCTCTGCGTGGGCCTGTCCCTGCTCACTCTGCTGCTGCAGAGCCTGTGGGTGCCACCTGAGCTGACCCGTGATGAAGCTGCAGGGAGATCACCTGAGGAACAAAGTAACATATGCATGCACACACACACACACAGACACACACACACAAACACACACAGAGTTTAGTATAAAACTGGTTCACATAAAATAAACGCAGCGGCTGGAATTGGTCGCACATTTTGCAACACGTGAAATGGAACATAAAAACAGGGTGTTTAGGGATTAAGACACGAACTCCAGTGTTAGATGAAGATTTGTACACAGTTCATGGTGGGTCTTTATCCTCATCCATCTTCATCTGTCTGACAGTTGCGGGTTTGTGGCTGAGATAAACCAAAGCTCTTTTGTCTGGCTCAACTGTTTCTCTGAAGGAGGACTTTTAAGGGGCAGTGGTCATGATTGTTTGGGTAAAATCTTTTCTTTTCTTTTATTCTGTTTTAGATGTAAGAGACAAATATTGTCAAGAGTCAGCAGTCTATTTGTGACTACAAACTAACATATTTAGATTATACCATTTAATTGTCTATTTTTGCTTGTTTCATAGAATTCCTGATGTATTAACTGTATTTTCCACAAATCCTTAATTAACACAGTGACCTGTTACAAACATTGCTTTATGAGTTAATTTTCTTAAAACTAAAAGTCTGTAAACTTGGATGGTGAGCTAAAAAGCCGTCTTCAGATGCACATGTGCGACCTTAAATCAGGGGTGTCCAAAGTGTGGCCCAAGGGCCATTTGCGGCCCTTGGAGTGATTTTGTGCGGCCCTCAACTGCAATTAAAGAATGGTATAATTTTCACCCACATGCTCAAGAGGATGATGCAGATGCAGACCTTCTTTAGATATAACGGGGATACTTAAAAAAAAATTATGGATTTAACAGCAAAACAGATTAAAATATTTTTCTCAAAATGAGCGATCTCAAGTACAATACAAATGTTTAGCTATAATTAATCCCTTGATTCTAAAACAAACCTTCAGTGATCTGACAAAAAGTAGAATTTTGGATAGTAATTCATAAAACTTGGCTAAATATAACAAGTGTTTTCAAAGAAAATAATTTCAGTTGATTTAATAATAGATGGGGAGAAACTGGACATTTTAAAAATAATATAAAGTGATATCATCGACATACAAGTTGATCAACTTTATCAGTGTAAATTGATACAAACTTTCCATGAATCTGTTTTAGCGACTGCCAGCTGGAAGGTTTTTCTGAACTTCGATGACCCTTTTTGGGTCATCCCGTCCAAACCGTTGTTTGAAGCTCCACCCCCTTTTTTTAAAAAGAAAAGGTTAATGTTTATGAGGGTCCTAATGTTCTGGAGCTACAATAATTTAAGCTAAACTTTTAGCCTTTCTCCCAAATATTGTTCAAGTTGTTGAGTGTTTAAAAATGAGTGGGGAAATAGCACTTTTTAAACTTTTTTTCATTTCTTAAATTCAAAATTTTCTGGCCTGCAAGTCCTTTCATGACATTTCCGGCCCACCTATGAAAATGTTTGGACACTCCTGCCTAAATCAAGCTAACTTGTGTTAGAGTCTGCAACTGTGCGGCTGCCAACGACTCACAATGCCATCAAGATAAATGACAACAGGATCCAAAACAATCCAATCCCCCCATTTTTTCCATTCATATTTGAGGAAAATAGTTTCTAGCAGTGTAACCCTCTGCTGCTTCGTGCACCCAGGGACCCACCACAAGTTGTGTACAAAGAGCCACCCAGCAACAACTCAGTTGGAAAATTTGGTAAACCACATGGAGGAAGCTGTTACTGGGCACATACAATAAAATCACCTCAAATTTATTACCAAATGCTCAGGTTTCAGCATGTGTACGTTAAAAATCATCGAGCAATTTAAAGTAGAATTAAAGGCCTAGCGTTCTTTGATGGAACGCACACCGTCCACTGCCTGTCATGCGCCAGTTTGATGAACTTAAGTTCAGAAATAGCTGATGAGTTGTAGGTGTTTTAGTAAAACCTTTAAAATAACTCAAACTATGTGGTGGGAGTGAGTCTCAGCTACGTTCACAACTAATTTTTGTTTAATATTTGTAAAACGGACTGAGTTATAGCTTTTTTTGTTGTTTGCTAAATTGGATTGGCTGTGGCAGTCATATTAAACTGAAAAGAAAAAAACAACAACAAATCAATCAGTATTCAATGATTATTGTCAGAAAGTTCCATTAGAACTATTAGTTCTATACTGTTATGTTCTATATTATACTATTAGTTCCATTACCTTTTTACATACATTTGCAAGTCCTGCAAATTAGGGACGGCTGTGGCTGAGTGGTTAGAGCAGTCGTCCTCCAATACAAGAGCTGGGGGTTCAACTCCACCAGTAGCCACATGCTGAAGTGTCCCTGGGCAAGACATTGAACCCCTCATTGTCTCTGATGTGTGTCCCATCAGTGCACTGATTATTCTTTGTAGAGATCCAGTAGAGTGCTGTATGAATGGGTAAATGAGGGCATAGATTGTAGTGTAAAGCACTTTGAGTGTCTTGATAAGATAGAAAGAAATTATATAAGTACAGTCCATTATACACTGAGGCAACTAATATCTGTTTTTTCCCCCATATTTATAACCCAATTTTTTGCTGAGATCTGACGATTTCATTCATTCTGACATGGAAACTATTGAACATTCCCATTTTCAGCCACCAGAGGGCCCTCGACTGATATGGAAAGCCAAGTGTCTCATTAATAGGTAAAAGTGTCTATTAATGAGACACTTGGCTTGTCATTCCAAGCCGCCTTTGTCTTGCTCCAGAACTCCTGGAGCAAACGTCAAATCAGCTGCATTTCACAGAGCCGCCCAGACGAAATGCAGCTGATTTGACCATTAAAGTGCATTTATTAAGAAAAAGTTCAACTGAGACACACCTTTACTATAATGTCGAGCAAACAAATAATTGATTTTAGGTGTTAATCTTATTGAATTTCAACGAAATGCACAGCGAATCATCCCTCTGTGTGCTCCTGCTTCCGAAAATCGACTTTTGAAATGCAGCTAATTTGACCGTCAAAGAGCATTTATTAAGGAAAAGTTAAACTGAGACACACCTTTGCTATAATTTCGAGCAAACAAATAATTGTTTTTAATTGTTAATTTTTTTTAAATTCTTGTTAAAGCCCTCCCGTGCACGCTCCGGTGGCCACCATTTGGCAGCCAATTGATTTTTGGCGCAACACCGGCCCACATTTCTGGGTGGTCAGCGGTGACGTATAATAAATGCAACCTATATGGCAAAGCGATGTATTCATATTTTTTCCACTTCATTAGACATATTTGGACTGGTGTGACTTATACGGCAGTGCGACGTGTACTGAGGCAAGTACAGTAAATTTAACTCCCATTTTCATGACTCTGACAGTCATCCCTTTGTTACGTTTTAGCCAAAAACATCACGAATCTACCACCTCAGAAACCGTCCGAGGTCCTGGCAGCAACACATACTCCTGTACTTCAAACACAATTCACAAGATAGATATACATGCTTTTGTATGATTTCTTTTTCTTCCTCATAGGTCAGGGTAGTCCTCGCCTCCATGGGATGGCACTTCGTTTGGAAGCTTTGAGTGATCAGGTACAGAGGCTGAGCAGTAAAAGAGATGACATCTATCTGGACAGAAATGATCTCAGTTTACTACTACACAGGTACTCAGCAGCTACCATCTGGATCTCTGTATTTGTATGCACTTAGAAGTTCGAGTTAGCATTCTGGTGTAGATACAATGTAGATAGGAATAAAAATGGTCTTGTTTTTCAGGCTCAGACAGGATCAGCAGAGTTTGACTCACTTGGTTGAGCGGGAGCTGCAGAGAGTGTCTCAGAGGCTCGAGCAGCTCAGCCACCATCATCACCAGCCGGTTGGTACGCTACACGATGACAACAGACTGCAGGAAGGTGAAGTCTGGACATTTAATAAGTTATGTTCAAGAGGTTTAAAGATTTACAACAAACAAAACAAAAGGCAATTCAATACCTTCCCCTGAAGATGAGATTTTTTCCCATGTGTATGTCTGTTATCAAAATATCCCATAAACCAGTGGTCACATTATTATAATGAATCTCATTGGATGTCATAATCTACAACTTTTGGAGTCGACCTAATCCAAGAGCCAAAGTGGTTCAAAACATCAACGTTGATGCTCAATAATCCAGGTATAAAATCCAACAAAGTTCAGTCATGTCTTATGGGCGGTTTCCAATTTTTTGTTGTTGTTGAGACGTTTCGTCCTTCATCCAAAGTAGAGTTGAACTCGGGTCCAAATAATTTGAACCGACCTTGCCCCAGCCCGTAGCCATCATCTCCGAATCCCTCCCAATCCAACTAATTAACAGTACTTCCAGGTCCGAACCTGGAATAAAACCCAACATTTTTAATTAAGCTTTGACTGCTTATACCACTGACCATTATTAACAGTTGGCGGATGCAAACAGCTGAGGGGGCAGAAGATCAGAGCTGAAGAGCCCTCAAAGCACATTAAATGCTTCCCCTGCATCTGCCTTCATTCTGCTCTGACATGTCGGATTTTTTGTGATCTCACCTGTTTGGGTCTCCGCTACGAGCGTCCGCTGAGTGCAGCAGCTGGATGAACGTCCATTTGGGCTGATGGATCGCTGGTAGTAGTCCATCTGAAGCTTAACTGAACTTTTGACCTCTTTCAACCAGCTGGTCAGTGCGCGGTCAAATGGCCACGTGTGGCAGGTGCAGTATGGCAAGCCATGTTTGCATATATTGGATCATCGGCCGCACGTTCCTGACGCAATAAAAAGCCAGACACTGACCCGGCCCACACATTAAGCACAATATTATGGTCCGGCCTGGTCCGAATCCGGGTCGGGCGGGGCCGGGCTCCGGGTTCGGGTTAGAAATGACAGCTCTAATCCAAAGGACTTCATCAGTCCAAGGAGCCACAAACCAACTCAGTCCCACAAGCAGCACACACACATAGTGGACCAACCAGTTTGCCGGTGATAAGATGGTTTCTGGGGCCCGCCCTCTCCCTTGTCGACTTCTCTGAGGCAGCCATAGCCAAACTAGTTGGATGAAGGATGCATCAGGCTGCATCAAATAATTTCTCTTGACCTTTTTAGCTTCAATAGGTGGCTTGTTTTCAACTTTTCTATTGCCTGAAACAGTAGTTTGATACTCTAAGGCCAAATGCAAGGTTCATAGTCTTAATAGAGGTTAACTACACAGTGAAGTTAACAAGCTGTTACATTCATTAGAGGGCATGAATTGGGGGGTGAAGGCAGTGAGTACAGGTGGGGGGTTGGGGTAAAATTCGTAAATATAGAAGCTTTACAAGTCCCATAGAGCCAGCGTCAATCAACCTGGAGGAAAAAAGTTAAGGTCTTCTCTACAACTCTCCTTCAAGGTGGCAGGTGAGAGTATACACACCAACAGTTTAAACGTGTGGGTGGTGGGATGAGTACCTCTCTGTTTGACTGAAACAAGAAATGAGGCGGTGGTGGTAGGGGATCCATAAAAGTTTGGAGCATCCATGCCATCACCTATAAATGTGTGGCGGTGCATATACAGCATAGAACAAACACAGATGCCACCCACACAAACACACACATCCACGCCACCAGCCTGTTGGCCCGTCTTCCTCTCACATTACCTCACAATCATAAAATACAGCTGAATTACCCAAGAGCCCTTTCACCAATGCACCCTTGTTTTTCCAGGGGGTGTTGGGGGGGCTTTCTATTCCTTGTTGTTCTGCTCCTACAGCACACCTCAGTTTTTAAGCCTTCACACATCTGCTTGATTTCTACAAGCTTTCTTATCTTTCCCCCCCATTTTTACTAGGTTGTTTTACATCGTCAGGGACTGTGTGTTTTGGCTAGGGTTGGTATTGTAAATGGGAGTGTGTGCGCACGTGTCTGCTCATTCCACTTGATTGACATTGGCCTCGATTGGTGGTGGGGGGGGTTTACGGGAACAGGCCTCTGAGAAACTATCGCCTCCACTTTAATGCCACTCACAGGCATGGAAACATTGCGTTCTACACTGATGGCTGCTGTTCACGGTGTATATTTCATTCAAGATGGTGTTTATCAAAAATACTGTCCAATGTTCTGCTTGGATGGTGATGATGCATTCAGAACCCTTTCCCTGTTGTAGGGCCTGTTGAGAAGTGTGAGGTACCAAAAGATCCTGCGTATCCAGTGT